GATGCCACAGACCCTTCCAAACTAAACTGTCCGATGATTCTATGATCATTTCTTTGGTTTTGTAATGAACAAAAGATTCGCTCAGCCTGATGCTTGTCAATTGGCAACTTTGATTAAAAACAAAAACAAAAACAAAACAAAACAAACAAAAAAAAAAAACCACAACAACAACAACAAAGAACAAACCAGAGCATCAAATTTCAGTTCTGGATGATTTAAACAACTCAGTTGTATTTTCTAGACCAAATGAGACACGCTTTGTTTTACTTAAGATGCCTTCATGAAAGTCTGCCTGGTTGCATAACACTTTAGTTAAAAGAAAAAATAAAACAAGATAAACTTGCCAAGTTGACATATGTCTAGAAACAAAATAGTCCAAATATAGTATCAAGAAGATTTCAGAAATGGCTTGGAGGAAAATAAATATACTAACAAATCTACCTTACATCCTCTTTTCATTAAACCTGGCCACTATTTGTGCAAAATCCAGTACAAGCAAAAAAAATCAGATGAAACAAATTTTGCATTTGTAATGCTGCTGTTGGGATCATCATATCTAGGCAACTGTTACTTATAAACCAACAAATGTTTCACTGTGTAGGTGTAAGCTAACACATCACTAGCTACAAATAGTTTCTAACCAATTTGAACCAGCAATGGAAATTACACCAAGAAGTACTGAATATTGCAATTTATCACGGGACCAAAGCTTATAGCCTCAGCGGTTTATTTTGGTAGTTCAGATTTAAGTTTTCCTTGCTTTACACGGTACTGAGTGTACCAGTTTGGGCATCACTAAGCTAGGTGTTGTGCAAGAGAAAGAAGAAAAAAAAAAGAATTACAGATCCCACAAGATGAGCCAAGTTACACAAAGCTATTATAGGGCAAAGCATAAAATAAATAATCCTCTGTAACAAAAGCAAGAGCTACCTCACACAGTCTGGACCTAATCCTTTGGTCTGGAAAGCAATCGTGAGACTGCGGTAGTAATTCTTTGTATATTGAAAAAGTATCAGAGCACTTTCACAGAGGAGAAACTGAAGCTCATCACAATAGCTATATAGCTAGTCACACCTCTGTTAAGAGCTATGTGCTTTTAGAAAGTTTAGGAACAAGGATTCAGGCAAGTCAAGTATCAGATAAGCAAACAGGAGTGCTTAGTGAGGTATATCCTTAATTAACATGTTTATCTAAGAACCATACTGATATAATTAATAACAGGAGCAGAGACACCTAACAGCTGCTGTCTACATGTAAATAAAGTTTTGTTTTGAGACAAAAGCTAAATACATTCTCGATTCTGTAAATGTTATGCTAAACAAACAACAATTTTAGGTTTGATTTCCCCATTCCCTTTACATTTTTGCTAGGTTGGGGGGTGTTGCTATTTACTTATCTACTCATTTATTTAAAGGACTGACACATTTTACAGCATACTCTATTTCTCAACACAGCACAACACAGCATCCATTTTGAAACAGCTTCAGGTTGAATTAGAGGACCTTTTAACAAAAAAACCACAGCTACACTTCATTAAGTACGACAGCACAAAGTTCTGTGTGGTGGGAACTCTACTTTGAAACAAATCAGCACGAGAACCTTCAAAGACAGGTTAAATGCCAGTTACAAGCTCAAACTTGGGCAATCTACTCTCTTTTTGTGCCTCTCCTTTCTCCACAAGCAAAACCAACATGGACAACACTTATTTTGCCCTTCGCTTATTTTGCCCTGGCTGTGAGAACCAGCATAAGAAAAGGAATGTTCCAGTCCCTGGATATCACTGCTGTGTTATTCACAGCTCAGAACTGTTAGCTCCCATCATTTCATTTATCCACCTGACGTTAGAGATGGAGGTTAAGATGACTTAGTTTCTAAACACTGACTTTTTTTACCCAATCATCTCACTTTTCTTTTAAAACACCATCTAGTAAAGAATTTCAAAGGGCTCCGCTTCTTTAATGAGGCATTAAAATACAGTCATACGACAAAAAAGCAACTCTACTAAGTCTCTTAAACCCCTGGACTTACATTATCAGCTTTTATGTGCCTGTCAACACTCAACAGTAAGAAGCAATGGTTTGCTCTTTGCCTTGAATTTAAAAGCCAGCTAAACTTTTCCTGCTGAGAGCTTTAACTCCTTGCAAACTGTCAAAGCTTTGACACTTCAGCAGCAGATAAATCCACAACATGATGCAACCGGCAGGTGTAGTCTCAATTGGCCACTGGTCACTAATTTACTAGTGGCCATTTCATTCACTTTGAAAAGCAATAAACTAGAAATACTTCTCCCCCACACCTCAACATTCCCACACTGCTTGTGGATCAGGCTCTTTCCAATAGATGCTACCTCTGGGAAAGAACCAGGTACAGTTAACTTGAAACTTGAGAGAAATGAAACATTTTAAACTGTAGGGATGTTGACATATGGCTAAAATGCAAAGGCATTTCCAACCCAGAAGGTAAAGCAAAAGTGCAGCATTTTTCCAGAAAAGTAAGTGCAAATTACTAAATACTGGAACTTCTCTACCCAGCACATTTCTCTAAATAATCGCAGCCTGGATGTGGCATTCAGTGTAAAAGCTCCTTGATGCACAGCCCATTATTAATTTGTTTAATAAAGGTGCCAGCCTAAGTGCACCTACGGAAGAGTTTGGATGATTTGCTTAGTAGGAAATGTGAAGTTCACAGCTAGGAAGCCCTATATTCTGCTCGGAGTAAGCTAAAATATTTGTACCATTATCTCAGTATACAGAGAAACAATGACTGCACAAGTAAGCTATACTGTTCCTTTACAACAATAAAAGGCTTCTAATGGGATCCTTGAGATACTACACTTAATGAGCAGCACAGTGAAAAACAACCCTTTCCCTTTTCTTCTGTTCTTTTCACACTATAATTCCACAGTATACAAAACCCCTATTTAAGTCTCCTAACCTTGATAAGGACTGGATCCAACTCTCATTCAAGTCAATGGAAAAAGATCTCATAATTAACCTCAAAGATGCATGACTGAGGCACTGAGTGGCAAAGATACAGGAAGTATTGTAATAACTTATGTGTGAAAATCTTAGAGGTTTTTTTTCATAACAGGGGGGAAAAAAATCTTATTTTCATAGGATGGAAAATAGATATTAGCTTGCCTAAAGGTCATCCATTTCTGCTGAGAATGCACAACACTGAGAGCTCTCACATCCTCTGCACCCCATGGGTTTGCTGGAGTGGCAGCCACAAGATACTATATAGAAGTTAAAAATGCATTTATGCTTTCAAAGGGGGCAGAACAAGGAATTTAGAAAAAGCTGTCTGAGTTTCTGCCAATGTGGGCATGCATCCACTTTCAAATACCTTAAATACAGCCTGGCATAGAAGTTTCTCTCATCACTAGAAGGATTTCAATGGACTTCAAATGCCAAACAAATCCCTTGACTCACGTCTCAAACCCCAAGGGTTTTCCCCCAAGGGAAGCATCTGACAGCAGCAAAAAAATGAACAAGAATGCCAAGGGTTAAAAAGTTAAGTCAGACTGATTCAGCATTCAGATCAAACAACTACAGATTATTAATGAGCACTCCAAGCAACAAGGGGCTCTGACACAGACAAGAACCTGCACATCACAGGCATTCCAGGAACCCTGGTTTGTCTGCCTGGAACAAAACCTTCACAAAATATGCACACCCTCCTGATTTAAAAGCATGCCAGCTCTCATTGCCTCTCTGCCCATACACAAGCACAAGACTGTTAGGCTCAAGATACTTCCTTCATCAAGGTGATGATCAGCAGAACTTTTCCTTGAAATCCTTTTAAATTTTTTACCATTCACAGTAATTTTTTAAAAGCTCTTCTACCAAGTAATACTGCACACAAAAAGTACATCTTTCACAACCTCAACAGACAACCAAAATAATGAAAAACCAAAATAGACATAAGAAGAGACAGCAAGCCTTCTCACCAGCCACAACTTCAAATATAGATTTTTGGAGATGGTAGAAGGAATACAACCATGCTTCAAGCAATTATAACAAGATCTTGCCAGTTCAAATGGAAAAGGAAGAGCTTTTTTAACCAAGAATAAAACATATGTATGGAGAAAAAAAGGACATGTGAACCATACATTTCAGAAAGACAAAGAGTCAATATCATCCAACTTCCCTTTTACTTAAAGCTGTTTAACAACCAATTAATAAAATTCGAGACATATGGATAAACATGGCCAAATGTAGCAGATTAGAAATAGCTATTTTCTTCAGTGTAGGTACTTAGGGGAAAAAAATACTTCTTGAAGTGCAAGCTCAATGTCTGAAGTTATCCAAAACTGCTAACTCTGAATCCTTCCAGACAGAATGGCCCTTATCATTAGGCAGTCCTGCAGATACCAAAAGCTGTCTCTAAAGTACCTTGAAATAAACAGTCCCCATAATCAAGTTTTAAACCTACTTACTGCCCTGAGTAATTCCCATGTTGTTAGTGCAAACACCACAACCCCAATGCATGGCTGATACTTTTTTATTCCCACCCCCAATACCCCCCACCCCCCCGGGAAAGACACATGGATTCAGGTAATAATGGATTTATTAGTGTAAAATCCCACAGAAGAACATTTGAAGCCTTAGAAGGAAGCCAGCCTGAACTATGGCCAATTTAAACAACAAATAATTCAGGGTAATTTCAGACTCAACATTCACCCAAGTCTTCTGGCAACCTTCTTGCGGTTTTACGATCATTTCCTATAGTCACCGTTCACTGCTGTTCCGAAGACCTGCACAAGCAGGTGGGGGAACAGAAAAAGTGAAGTGACCAGTTCTCCAGAGAAAACCACCAAGATGGCCACAACCTTGACTTCATGTTATGCACACATAGATGATTAAAAAAAGTCATAAAGTTGCCAAGCATTTGTGTAGTTCCACTACCAATCACTGTGTTTCTTATGGTAACAGGTGAAAAAGAGTTTGGCATAAGTAGGGATTTTTAAATTAAGAGCGTACATTTAAGAACAGTCTTACCAAAAGTAACTTCTCCTTTGCCAGTCTTGTCAAAGAGCTGAAACGCTACTATGAACAGTGCATCTGGAGCACACAGGACTGATTCAAATGCCACAAACTCTTGAAAAGATATCAACCTAAGGGATTAAGGAAAAAGCAAGAGCTATGAAACCACCTGCTTCCAGAAAAGCGAAATACAATATACAATAGATCATACAAAGTAAATAAGATCACAACTATAAAGTATACGGGGTTTTATCAATAGGGACTAAAATTTATCCCAAAATGCCCTGTCACCGATGTTGTCAGGAGGACTTTGTATCGCTAGACGGAAATGAGTGTTGAACAAGGAACTGTTCATCTCCGCAAGTCGCAACAGAACATAAAACAAGCAAAGAGCTCAGTGTGGCTACTCACCTCAGCTTTGCTGTCTAACCAAACTGCCCTCTGGGGGAGCCTATCTCCCTCCCTTGGCAAGACAAGAGAGTCTTCCCTCAAGACTGAGTACTTAAGGCTTTTGGAAGGCAAAACTATTCAAGATCTAAATGGTACCACTCAGTTCAGAAGGAACTGATCAAAATGTCTTATCTGTTTGCTAGCAACTTATTGGTCATCTGTTACAGCCGTCCAGTTCTGCGTGTTGAATCACAAATTTCAAGCAGTAGTCGGCAAATTCTTTCTCAGCCCAAGAGCAGTTTATTCAAATTGATCATCACAGCCAGGTTTCCCTTACAGAAGCGCAGCAGCAGAGCACAAATAAAAGCAGAGGTGCCCTTCCTTAAGTCAGTTAATATGCAGAAATACATAATTAGACAACTTTACATTGTTTCCAGCAGTAGATTTGATACAGCAAAGACCCTGAGCACTTCTTAATTCCTTTGTGTCACACCCAAGAGTTCAAATGAGGATCAAACTCCTATTCTTAAACAGGCAAGGGCCAACCATTCTTCTGTTTTCATACTTCTTTAATGCCTAATTTACACAGTTTTAAATAGTCTTCAAAAGTGTGGTTGTGGGGCCTGCTGGCAGTCTGGGAGGTTTACGACTGCCCTCTGCTTTATGTCAGCGTAGCAAGCATGTAGCTTTAATGGGTTCACGTGGCAGGAGCTGGGGAACAAAGATTTATTCCTGAGAAGCACAAAATTCAGCATAACAAATGGCAAGACACTCCCACAAAAACCAATTCTACTTTTTTTTTTTAATTATTAGAAGCTAACTGTGTCCTTTAGGACTTTGGCTCAAAATGATGCTGCAGCTGGTTCAATGAAAACTTCCACTCAAGTATGCAGTACCAGTGAAGAACAAAGTGAATAGCCTGGAAAGGGCATTCATTCCACCAAGTTATGATGATATAGCAATTTCCAGTCACCCTGTCTTAAGGGAATTAATTTCAAGTCACACAGAAGTGTGCTTGCTGCATGTCAGCAGCCCAACATCCACAGGTAACAGAAGCTGATTTCCATGAAGAATGTGACAACATGAGAAGATAAACAGAAGGACATCAAAAAAAAAAAGCATGGCTCAGAAAAGGTCAAAAAAGCTATTCTACTTTACCTCCCCCAATATATATGCACTAAATAAAGTAAAAGAAAGCATATATAGGGTCAGAAACTTAGTTTAACAAATAATTAGCTCTGGGAACCTGGCACTATAGGTTATTATGTAGCATGAGAAATAAAATGAAACCTCCTCAGGTATTTTTAGTAACTTACAATTGATGATGCCAGTAAACATATAAGCAAGCCTTAAGCTATACTAACAAAGAAGTCAATGACTTGTTATACATGCACAGGTTAGCAATGGGCAGGCCACTGAGTCATTTATTTTAACTCCTTGGGAGCTCTCAGTACTGCCCACTGTTAAACACAAAATACAGATATTCAGCCTTTACATGGAAGAAAAATTCCACCCCTCCCAAGATAAAAGAATTTTTTTTAAATGCAATATTTCCATCAATTATAAATCAATATATCACAACCTACTTAGTTTTGCATTTACGTGTATTTATTGTTATGCAATTTACAGCTTATAAAAGCTCATTACTATCCATTATTATTGGCTACACACCTGACAACTTCCACAACAGCAAAGAGATACAAAGCGCTGAGTTCTTGTGTCCCAAACATTATAAAGCCCATGCACAGAAAGAATAAAATATGACAGCAGGTGACAAGACTCTAGAACAGGATTGTTTAAAACAAAAAAATATAAAATATCTCCCAACACCATTTTGATGAAGCTGCTTTTTGTGTGAAACAACCACCAGCGTATGTCCTTACCATCAGCTCCCAGCACAGTGATGAGAGCACAGAAAAGAAATACAGCACCTACGCTAGCAGAATACCAGCGCCGTGCTAATAACATATTCTGTGTTCATGCTAATAACTTATGTTATTAGGCCTGGATTTGATTAAAGCTCCACATATCAACACAGCTACAAGACTTTATACTGGTAGAAGCGTTCTTTGTCAGTACTTGCAAATAATAACCCCCCATAATAAGCCAGAGATAGATGTTTAAAATAACCCCATATCCATTTTTAAAAACAATTACTCACAGTACTAGGAAGATCAAAAGTGTACAAATTGTGCGGTTCTAGCCAGACTATTAAAAAAGAGACATTAATATCTGCTGCGCCAGCTGAATTCAAATTAACCCAATTTTTACATGTTAATTAAACCAGCTATTTTCTTCTTATTGTATTTTTGCTCCCTAAGTAGACTATCCTGCTAGGGATTCCCAACAGATCTATTCTAACAACAATGACGTATTCATTTACTCCTATTATGACCATAGAATACAGTAACTGAGCAGTAATTTTTCACAGTCAATTACACGTGTGATTCTTAATGCTTAAAGATGCTGAAATAACATGTAGTACATAGCCATATGCTCACTTCTCTATACTGCACAAGGGTAGTTGCCTGGGTAACACATTTTCTCTCCAGTTTAGCATCACCCTTTTGGGTTTAGCATAACCCTTCACTGAATATCGTTAGGTGTCTTTAAACAGCACACATTAACAAGGACTTCAATATACTACTTAAGAGTTATTTTATCTACCTAAACAAGTGTTCATTTGTGTTTCAAAAGCATAGAAAAGCCTCGTGATTTTACAGCGCAAAGGCAGCAAACTGAAATGTTTATAAAATTGTACTTCAATCTTTATGTTATTCTACCTAACTGGTCAAAGTCTTCCTTCACCTTCACACCCTCATTATCAGTGCCAATACTGCATGATTTATTCAGGGAAGCTGAAATCTTGATGTTTTAAAAAAAACCCACACACAAGAGCTGCAGTCCAAACACAACAACCGGGTATGGTGCAGCAAAACCACTATTTACTGTTGTCTCTTTTTTTCCATGCTTCCTCTTTTGGTGCTCACAACCACGGTATCTGGGCACCACATAGACATGATGCAATCCCACCAGAGAAAATCCTCATGTAGCCATGCAAAGAAAAAAAGCTATTACCCACTGTAATAATACCTACAAATGCAATGATGAAGAGGTTTCCTCAGAAATCAATGCATATGTTTTTACTATATCAGCAATTTAAACATGATAACAATAATGGGACACAAATGGAAGCGGTATCTATTATTTTACACTGCAACCCAGGCAAATTAAGTATAGTGTAAATTGGCGCATTAGAGGATAAATTTATATACAACAATAAAGGACAATGCTGGCATTTCCAAGTGTTACTTCTAAAAATAAAGCATACAGTATTTCCCAGTGAATTTACTTACTACAGTCCAAACACAGATGTGCAGTAAATACTTATTTTGTTAGACAGACATTTAAAAGTACAACAAAAGACTTAAAACAATATGTTACAGTAGGCAGGATGGAAAATGCCTGGCGTGTTGCTGATAGGCCTTGAGAAAGCCACTGTATTCTAGAGGAGTTTCTGACCCAGTTGAAGCCAAAAGACGCACTTTTTTTGAACTAAAATTAGGAATGAGAAGCTTAAGGCCAGGAACCAGACAAGGCTCTTAAGCCCCTTAGAGACAAACTACAGTCAGATAATATAACACTTTTTTATAAATCTGTGTTATTATTGACCAACTACTTTGAAAAGCTTCTCTGGCCATCATCAAGAAAAGTATTTCTTTTTCTTAAAAGGAAACTTTTAAAGGATGCCTCCATAAGAGGACAGAAGGAAAGCCTACCTCCAAATAACCCTATGCCCTGACTTAAGATGGAGGCAAAAGTTGCTCCCATGGCAACAGATATCACAGAACAGCAGAGTCTGCCTTAAGAGGCCTTGTACCTTTGCACACCAACAGCAGCTCCTGTAGATACCCTCAAATCTTAATCTCTAGCAATGCAGGAATTCTGCTAGAGCTACATGAAAAATTTTGCCCACAGCAACCACAGTGAGACTGTATGTCAGAGATACTGCCCTTCACACTCAGGAGTTCTTCAGCTCTGGCGTAAGCAACTCTTTGCCCAGATACTTGCTCTGCTCATGAGTCAGAAGCTCTTGCGCTGTCTGTCACCTCTGAGACTTAACAATTCTAGTATTTCTCACTGATTACACTTGGTACCTGTACCTAACTTCTCACCACGTTCAGAAGGAATTAAAAAGTATTTTTTAAAGTGCTAGGAAGCAACACTGGTGTTTCTGGAATCAGACCCCTTTAGTGAAGAGTGCTCATGCTCATCAGTCATGAAGAACAGACTCTTTTTCAGGGCAAAACTGGGATCTAAGACACTAGGATAAATGCTTCTAGAAATACTCTATCAGTGTTTCCACAGAAACACTGTGTTTTCACATGTTTTCAGAATAGTGCTACTTCAAACCAGTAAGATTATAATAAAATTAACTTGTCATCACTCTTGGAAGCTACCTTCTATGTTGTGATAGAAGTTAAAGTATTGAACAGACTTTCACTACGTTAAACACGTGTAAGTCTCTTAAATGCTGACCAGTCTATTAAAAATGGACACTAACAAAACCAGTTTTGTACTTCACTTTAAAACTAGGAGCTCTGGACTGCCAAGTTGGAAAGAATTCAATAGACCAGTAGGTCCTGTTGCCACCCCCAGGAGATTTTACTCCAGGAACCGAAAAGCAATTCACCCTTGCTCTAGACTATGACTCTGCTCATCACTTTATCTGCCACTAGAACTAGGTGCAAATGCCTGGTCATGTGAAAAAAAATGTGACAATGCCAGGTTACAGAGACAGATGCTCATCACTTTCTGAACATTTTCCATTCTTTCATGTTCGTATAGCACTTAAACAAGACAGCCTGAATACGAGAGAAGCCTCTCCAAAGGCAGGTTAGGAACATGCAGTCCCCTGTCACCGCACAGCCTAGACTGCAGAAACAGTCCTTACCCATGGCAGAAAGCAGCAATTAAAAGCCTCAACACTACACTGCAGAACTTCTCCAAGATCATGCCAAGTTATAAAATACCAACTTGTCAACAAGTTCACATAGGCTACCGTTTACATTTTGTTCTTCCAAACACCAGCTTCTGCCTTTGAGGGAGATCCAAATCACAAGGCATGGATTAGACTCTCAATCTTCTTACTACAAAATGGATTTGATGCCATACAATTTAGAAAATGCCACTTTTGCAGGAATCAAACCAAGGGAAGAAATCTGAGAAATGCTTAATGTTTTCAGTCAAAATGCTATCTGAAGCCACCACTTTCTTGCTGCCATCAAGCCAATGTTACCAAAATAACCTTTTGCAGAATACTTTTATCAGGGGTAACAATCATCACATTAACTCGTCTGCAAAGTTTAAGGTGCCCAGCTGCCAAATACATGAGGCTGGCTGAGCAGAAAAGACAGCACAGAAGGTATTGCAGAAGTTCTCAGTTACACATGCATCTGTTCCCTAGGAAGCCTGCATTCTCTAGTCATGCCTTATTTATCTCACATTTTACTCTGCAACCACTGATGAGTCATGCCTTAAGTTTTCTGGTTTCTAAAAATGCCACAGCTAAAGACTTTAAGTCCATAGCTAATTATTCTAAAGTTTCTCTAAAGATACTTTAAAGGCAAGGCTCAAAAAATGCTTTCTTATGGGTGAAGAGACAGCCTGCCTGGGCAAGTACCAAAAGCAAAATCTAAGACTCCATTAAAGAAGGGGGAGGAAGATGGAAGGGTAGTTAATCTTGCCTATTGCCAAAGTCAACCTTTCAAATACAAACCATGTGCAACCAACTTCACTGCTGTCTTCACAAGATTGCAAAGTGGCTCCCTAAATACCTTACTTGCTCCTCCTCCTTCTTAAGGGAAAAAACAGTGGCAAAAACATTTAACAGTGCTACGGAAAAAGAAAGGAGTGGCACTTTTTTCTATTATCACTTCCTACACCATCTAAATTTATTTTGGCTTGCTATTTGAATGTGTTTGTGACAGATACATGAAGTAAACAGAGACAAAAAGACTCATGGAAAGGAAGAAAAGCAGGAGTTAAGGGAGACAGACAACACACATGAAAGCTTCAATGAATTAAAAATACATAGTAGGCAGAAGATGGTTTGCTCAGCTAAATGGTACATGCAGCCCAAAACATTGTTTCTACTCTTTCCACTTAAAAGACACTGTATTCCTTTATGTAGCTGGAGGGGGGAAAAAAAGCACAAAGCAAAACCACACTGCCCTTCAGGGCTCAGACTATTTTGGAAGGACAGTTTTCTATTTTTTTAAATGAACAACAACAAAAAAAAAGAACCACTTACCCATCTTTTGTCTGATCCACCACACCTGCAAGGAGCTGTACAGTGCTTGCATTAGGCAAACCATCTCCAATTATTTTCAGGTACCGTGTGACAAAGTCATTAGGAGACATGAAGAATTCCCCATTCTTCTCCACACTTGCATACTGTTAAATGAACACAATATTTAGCACCTCAAATACATCTTTCTCCAGGCATTTATTACCACCACCCATAGTTTCCAATCAGGAGCAAGCTTCTGTTACAGTAGACGACAGTTCTCTGAAGAAACTACAACCTACACCTAAACAGGAAAGAGTAAGGTGGGAGTACTCATCAGCTGAAGGCTTGGCTTCCCAGCCGTAAGAGTGGAAGACATATGACGTTTTTGTTTACCATGTAGACAATTTCTCCATGGTAGTCTAGAAATGCTTCAGTACTGAATCCTTTTTTTTTTTCAAGTAGAACAAGAAGCACGTGTGTTTGCAAATACAAATGTGGCACCTCAGGCCCAAAGAAACTCTGAGAGCATCGGGATACTCCAGCATATCTTACTCATCTGAAGTGACTGCTTTGTGTAGCCATTTTCCTTCAGGATGAGCAGGCAGGTTTACATCCGTGAAACGACACTGCAGTGTTAGTGGAGTAAATGATCCCGCAAGAGTGTCCACCTGGGGGTGCTATTTTGGAGGAACTCCACTGCAGCACCTTCAGCCACAGCTGGTCTCTAAGTAAAGGAAAACCCACAGATCCTCCTTTGCTGGACAGCTGAAAAGAGGCCAGACAATGGCATTTGCAGAAAAATATAACAGAAAACAAGAACTTTGACAGTTCAGCACATTGCAGAAAGAAGAGGAGAGGTCCAATACCTTACCAAACACCACTGGCACACGTTACTCCCGCCCTATACCAAAGGTATTGGCATACTACTCCAGAAAACAGCGACTGACAGACCCAAGTGTATTTGCTCCCAAGTGAAGCCTCCAGTACAATGTTACATATCAAAGAAAAGGAATATTAAAATATTTTTGAGATAATACATCAATAGATAAAATTGCCTTTGTTACCACCCTTACCCTTGTTCTTCAGTCATGCTTCAAAGTTTAAAGCCCTCATTTTCTGTAGAAGAGTACATTTGAAATCAAGCCTAAAAATATTTTTAAAGTAAAGAAAAAGGATAAGGCATATAATTAAGAGGAAAAGAAATCCCAGGCAACATTTGGAGAACCATGTGTTAGCTTTAAGGCAAGCAGGTCTGTCTTGGGATAACAATGCACGCTGAAAACTGCAAAACGATTATTTTTTAATTTTTTTTTTTTTTTAAGGCAACGTAGGATGATAAATGGTTGCTGCAGCTCCCCACAGAGCATTATCCATATAAAAGTAATAAATAAATTACATGCCTACTGCTATTTTGTAGCATATTTCAAAGACACACACTTTGTTATGCATTGCTATGGCTGTGCTAAGGGAAGGGAACTTCCCTTAGCACTGCCAGTTTTCATTTTGTGGAGCCACATCGGTGCCTGGGGAGTACCAGTACACCTGCTGTAGGCATGTAACTCTCAGAGGGATGCCAAAGTGTAACAGTAAGTAGATTATTTTCTCCTAGTGCTATATAAATACAGTCTTCAGGTACGGCAATATCTTCAAGAAACACTGCTTCAGACAAGCAAACCCAAACAAAACATAACTTACTTTGGCATCTATGTGTTGGTTAGCATTTAAGGATTCCTGTTTCAATAGACACTGTTTGTAACACAAGCTTTCTAGTTGATATACTGCAAGGAATTTTGAATTGTACACTTTTATGAGAACTAGCAGATCAATTGATTTCAATGTAATCATTTGCAGGGAGACAGAATCTTTCAGAATCCCAGCCTCAGAAACTTTTTAACACAGCTGCTATTGAGAAACAAATCAAATAAGTCAGACAGTCTATGCTTCTGTATTTCATTTTTCTTCATCCCAGCTAACCCCCTGCTAGGGCACTCAATAACAGAAAACAGCACAAGGTTTCAGTGTCCCCATGTTTCTTGTCATTGTGATTTACTGAAGTATATCTGAAATCCAATCACGTATTCTATACTACATATAGAAAATGACCTTGGAAAATGTCAGCTTGATCATTTTGACTAAAATCTAATGTCTTAGGGGTTATGGTAGAAGACTTACAAAAAGTAGAGTTACCTTTTGAAATTATCATGACAAAAACACCAATTATACTTGTTTTGGAGGACAGATTTTTTTTTTAAAATGGTTCTTTACAATTGTGTTTTTCCCCACTTTGGCAATTATACCCACAGAGTATTTGATACTATATAATACTACTTAATGGCTTTTTGATAACTTAGATACACACATTTTAGATAGTCAAGTATTAATCAGTTCAACCCCATTTTAAGTCAGATTTCCACCTGGCAATCATATTTTTTTAATTCTTAATTGAAGTAGAAAGGATGGCTGTCAAGTTATTTTATAAGTGAAGATCCCAAAATCTGCAGAAGCAGCTGTATTGGCCTCACCACTTAAACAGTCTGAAGGAGCTTAACTAACACTCTGGTCATCACTTCTCTGTAAAGCACAAAACAACATACCACATTCACTTACCCTCTTTCCTTCTCAGTAGTAAGTGGCACAACAATTTCTTATTACACTAAACAAAACATTTAACTCGTACTTCATTACTCCACTTTACTGGGACACCTTCTTTTCACTGGAAAAGGAAAGAGCTGGAGGTGGTACTCAGTGTGCTCAACCACAACCCAGTCGATCCACCGAAACTGAAAGCTGAGGGAGCTACAATCTTCAGAAAGTCACGAGAAGCGAATACCCACAGGCAAGTAGGAAACAATTTTCACACTAATCTCAACAAAGCAACCAACCAGCCAATCTCCCCACCAAAACTGAGCACTGCTTCATTTTGCAGAAGGGACTAAGTTTCTCTCTGCTGTGTTTATTCCTGTCCTCCATGCTACCATCTTCTTGGGTCAGTGGTCTACTCTGTCTGCCTTGCTCCTGCTCCTCAAGCATTTACTCCTGAAAAATCACACTGTACCATTCCTCTTCAAGAGGTTTTTTTTCTTCTGACAGGTACAAGTTCCAAGACTCAGTAAGTTAAATCATTACTTTCTTAACAGCAAATCTGATTTCAGAGTTATAAACACTGACAGTATATGATAAAACTATAAATACTGGCAATATACATAGTTACACCTACACATACTGTGAATAATACCTCAGAAGGGACAATGGAAAACATGCCAAGAAGTACACGGAGAGCAGGGCATGATGCTGGAGAGAGGGAAGATGGAGAGAAGGACCTGGAAAGGTATGAGCTCTCTTAGGCACTCAACACCTTCATAAAAATAATCCAGATACAACAGCTCCCTGTAGCACTCTGACATCTACCTCACATATATTCTCCAGCAACTTCTGTACTCTTTTTTCATACCAGACTACCAAACTAACACAGACATTGTACTAATAAATCTTAGGAAGGTTAGTAATAGTTATTTAAATTTAGGAAATCGGTCAACAAAAGCCAATTTCCAGCAAAACACTAAAGCTCATTTCTCCCAAGTATGCAAGCAACTACCCGAGTAATTTCTTTACTTGCACACTTACACAGTGGGTCAACACAGAAAGAATTTTATGTAAATAATATATACAGCCACTGCTTCACAAGGTCATCTTCCCAACACTTCTACAAAGTAGAGAAGCAGAGGTAACCCTGACAGAAGGAAGCAAGGATGGGAGAAGAAAGTTTACCAAATGGTCTAACAGCAAGGTGTCTACATGAACATTTTACCATGTGTAGGAAGAATACTGAAACTCCCACCACGTTCTCTGAACAATACATGTTTTTTCTAAGATAGTAATACTTCTTCTGAGTCAATACAATAATCACTCAGGAACGTATCTGACTTCTTGGTGAGCATTGTTCGATTCTCATAATGGTATTTAAGTCTAACATGGTAATAATACAGTGAATGATTAACGGTTGGAAAAACTATCAAGACTGCTGCAATAAAGGAGCAAAAGATATGAAAAAATTTAAGCAGAAAGAATAAAATATTTACTTTATACATACCTTCAAAAATATTGTTTTCAACTCAGCTGGATCAGCTCTCTTGGTTAGAGCCACCTACAAGTAAATACAATTACATTAATATGCCTAATTTATACAGAACATGTCAAAGTGTCATTTAAAAGGAAGAATTCAAGCAACAGAAAAACTGATGAAAATACATGTTCACCTTAGATAAATTAGGTGCTGCTTTAGCTGGCCATGCTTATTTTACTCATTTCACATTTTCACTAAGTTATTCAACATTTTTGTTGTAACAGCTACCCTTATGCAACCCTGAAATTCTTAGACAAGCACACATTAACAAGTCATCAAAACATTCAAGTATCAAATCTTTTCAACATACCTCTCTGATGGGATTCGGCATTATACCATCTTTACCATATAGATTTTTATAATTCCAGTATCTTTCATTTAAGGATTTCAGAGTACCAACTAAGGATTACAGCTCCCAACTGACAGTTGTCAAGAATAAAATACCCAGACTTTCAAACTTATCCAAGAAAGCAACTCCCTGAAAGACTGAATTCCAATTAATTATTTAGCTTATTGGTACTTCTACCTCCTACTTCTAATATTTTATATTATTTAAACTTGCAGTGTAGAATTTTTTTGATGAGGTAAATTCAGAAAGCACAGCATCTAGATTTTTTTCTGCAGATCAGACAACTAGCCAGTTGCAACTAAAATGAAAGCTGTATTTATCACTGCAAACCCAAAGTAATTAATTTCTTTTTTCCCCAAACACCAAACTAAAAATTATTCTATACCCACTGTGGAGTAAGCTCCTCAGTATTGTCCTTGTAGACATACCATACCATTCTTTTGATGCTTTTGGCAGTAAATAGATTCATCCCCTCAGTTTCTGCCTGTTATAGAGGCTTCCTTTACTTCTTCAGGATACTCTGATAAAATCTATCTTGCTTGCCAACCTAATAACCATCATCTGATAAGTCACTTCAGCACATCAATCTATCTCTAATTAAATAAAAAACCTTTGCAAGCAAACCCGGACTTTCAAAAACCTTGTGAAAATATCCCTGTAATGGGGAATAAACAGCCAAAGGGCAAGGCATAAAATCTCACCTTCACCTAACAACTAAACATCAGAAATGTTTATCAGTAAAATATGCCTTCCTATTTTCTTGACTCTCCAGAGCAATGGTAGATCGTAAAGGTAAATGTGACTGCCAAGTGCATTTCTAGTAGCACACTAGACTAAAGTAGAAAATTGTTGGAGTTTGTGTAAGTCTGTACATGAGCATTCATCCTCAAATGTACAATTAATGTAAAATCTGTGGTAAATTTTTCCTCATCCTAAAATTTAAAAGTTAAAAAAAAAGAGACAATTAAAAAAGCCCCAGAGTATTTAAGAAAGCTGTATGAATAAGGTTTCTTATAAAATTTTAGAAGTTGTTTTTTAAGAGGGAAAAACCACAGCTGAAGTTATGCTAGGACTCAACTGACAGAGCCCACAGTTGGGAGTCTCAATTCTGTGTTTGCACAGAAATCCGTGTGGAGGTAATTGCAAAAAAAAATAATTCAAAGTGTAATTGTGAAGCTCGGAATCTAAAAATGTGTATTTTCTAAAATACCAGCTGTCCTAAAAGTAACCACTGTGTACCCAGCAGAGATTTAACCTAACCCTATTTGTAAAAATCTGGTACACCAGAGCAACTGGGAACCCTGTGGAAAGAAAAAAACCCAACATTTCTATACTGCTGCAATCCACAATTTTGCCACTATACAGGCAAACAAAAGATACTTCAAACACCTACAGCCATTAAAAATAACTCGGTATCACACTTCATCTGCCTTAAAGTTTACATTTTATGCTGTCCCAGAAACCTAAGCCTAAAGAAACCAGCTACGAAAAGCATGAAGGAAAAGCTTACATGCTGATAGCTGAACTTACTCTCATTTCCCTTTGGTTTAATGGACATTAATAATCTTTGAGAAATTCAGGAAACAAAAGCTCACACCCCAGTCTGCCATTTTTCAGCTCCCTTTTGATTATGGGGGGGTTCTGGTGGGTTTTTACAGCAAGTTTCTTTCAAACTGAATGACATGCTGAAGCTGGTCAGGTCAACAAACACATACAGGCCCGGCACCCGGGCAGTCCAAGCAGCAGCCTACAGACCATGACTTCCCTCCATTTCCCACAGTCTCCTTCCACATTCTTCTATTTCCCAGGAAACAGGAGAACAAAGATGTGGTTAGCACCATATTAATTGTTTTTTCCATGTGCCATTCACCAACCTCCATTATGAAAGGCCTCCTTGATCCCAGTTCAGGAAAAGAGCCTCTATTACGTTACGTTACAGCTTCAGGAGGACCACTGTAATTAATTCAGCCTTTTATCCATCCCCAGCTGTGGGCAAAGCTGAAGCTGCACACACAGACACAAGAACTGATCCTGATGACAGGCATTACTAGCAGCTTCTCCTTTTGGTCAAAATGTCACTTCCAATACCATTCTGAAAATTGTCCCCAGCTATGTTAGCAGTTGAAGTTGGGCTAAATAACCCAACAAGCAAGCCAACAGGTAGCACGCCTGATGAAAAGTGACCCACAGACACAAGCTGCTTCTCCTTCAGTCCACTGGTGGTGGTGAAAGGAGATGATATTCACTGACTTTCATATTACTGGGCTTAGGTGTAATGTTACTGGGAAGACTTCTTCATTTTACTTATCTTCTCTCCATGAAGACAAAAACCAACCTGAGACAGAACCAGGTAAGAGCTAATAGGGATGACATCTCTCTAGCTGCATGAGGAGGCATTCGATAAAGCAGATCTGCAGGAATTAATCCTCATTACTGCACTTTACAAAGATATGCTCAGTAATAGACACTAATGCTTCAAAAAAACCAGGAACTTTTATGAAATAAGGTTCAGTGAAGAAAGCTCTCCAACAAACAACATTTATTTTTTAAAAAACAGGAGACAACAGGGAGTACAGAAACTAAGCTGCAGGATTATAATAAAGTTGGGACATGCTACAGAAAAGACTGGGATAATGTCATCAGGGATTTTCATGCCTAAGGTAGACTCCTGAAAGTTTTAGCCAAGCAACTATGTGTATATGTGTATTATAATGTATATGAAGCACAAGCCAACACAGGCAATATAAAAATTTAATTTAAAAATACCAAATCCCTCCCACTAACAATGACATTCAGGAAAGGGAGACAGAGGGTGCACAGAGAAAGGGAAAGCTCTGTAAGTGAGGGATAGTAACACATGCGTTGATTTGCACACTGGAACTGTTCACATCCTCAGACTCCCCTGCAACTTGATCTTCATTTCAGCCCATTCTCTCTAGCAGAGCTCTTTTCTCCTTGTTGACTTATGCTCAGCTTACACTAATATGCATTTTCAGTCTCAGTTCCACCCTCAATAACAAACACAAACAGACTCTTTGTAGAAAAATGTAACTATACAACAACGCAAAAAAACAGAATCCACTGGGAAATCAAAGAGAATGATATTACATTTCCAATCACCTCTATTTATGTATTTGTCATACACAAGGCAGAAGGAACAGGCTGTCAGATGGTATATGATGATATCAGAAGACACAAAAGGACTAATAAAGTAGTGAGTGTCCTCTACCTAGTGAAGAGCAAGAACATGTATGGACAAGAGAGGAAAAAAGAGTTGGAAAATCAGAATTAATGCAAATAAATCATTAACCTAATGGCAAATAATAAATGTCCAACCTTCTCACCTTTATGGTAAAGATGACTGCAGTAGCCACTATTTGGATAAGAGTAGAAAGGTGATGGGGATCCAGGAATACTTGGGAACTGCTACAATATTCTAGAAAGTTTATTGGGACAACAGCAAGTTCTAACTAAAGTTAAAGAGATAAACATCTCTGATATTGTTTCTTCCTCATGGTTTAACCTGACTAGAGCACAACTGTGAAGGAGAAAGCTGACCAAGGTAAAGATGTCCCCCCCTACATCATTACATTTCATAACTCCTGACACCAAGCAGCTAAGATGCTGGAGAACAGCCCTTCTCCAAGCAGAGAACCAAAGCTGTGGCAGGGCTGCCTTGCCAGGGCACTGGTGAGTTCAGCCTGTTTAATTCTACAGAACACCATCTACAGGCACATACATGGGGAAGTCTGAATATAGAATCATAGAATGTTTTGTGTTGGAAGGTACCTTTCAAGGACATCTAGTCCAACACCCCCTGTGGTGAGCAGGAACATCTTCAACTACATCAGGTTGCTCAGAGCCCCGTTCAACCAGACCTTGAATGCTTCCAGAGATGGGGCATCCACCACTTCTCTGGGCAATGCGTTCCAGAGTCTCATCACTCTCACTGTAAAAATTTTCTTCCTTGTATCTAGTCTAAATCTACCCTCTTTTAGTTTGAAACCATTACCTTTGTCCTGTACCAACAGGCCCTGCTAAAAAGATTGTCCCCATCTTTCTTCTAGTCCTCCTTTCAGTATTGAAAGCTCACAATAAGGTCTCCCTGGAGCCTTCTTCTCTCCAGGCTGAATAAGCCAACCTCTCTCAGCCTTTCTTCACAGGAGAGGTATTCCAGAGCTCTGATCATTTTTGTGGCTCTCTTCTAGAGCTGATCTAACAGATACATGTCTTTCCTCTACTGAGGACTTGAGAGCTGGATGCAGCACTCCTGTTCAGCTCTCACCAGGGCAAAGCAGAGAGGCAGAATCACCTCTCTCCATCTGCTGGCCACACTTTTTTTGATGCAGCCTGGGATACAGCTGGCCTTCTTGGGCTGTGAGTGCATGCTGCCACTGGCTCATGTCCAGCTTTTCATCCACCAGAACCCCCAAGTCCTCTGTGGAGCTGCTCTCAATCCTTACATCCCCCAGCCAGTATTGATACCAGCAATTGCCCTGACTCAGATGCAGGATCTTGGATTTGGCTTAGTTGAACCTCCTGAGGTTTAGGCAGGCCCACCTCTCAAGCATGTTCAAGTCCCTCTGGATGACATCCCATCCCCTCCAGTGTGTCAACTGCACCACTCAACTTGCTGTCATCTGCAAAGTCGCTGAGGGTGCACTCG